CGAAACTCCTCCCTCCCTCCCAGTCTTTCCTATTCGCGCAACCTGGGGTGGGCCAGGACTGATCAACACCGGCGAACTCGACGGCGGCCAAAGGCAGCTCCAGGAGCGGAGGCGCCTGTCTTTCCTGTCCTGCTCTCCCCCTCGCTCAACCCAGTCAAAAACGCCCGTTCGGAGGTGGGACAGCGGTTGGCTCGGATCCGGGTATAAAAGAGCAAAACGCGGCTTGCGAACCACACAGAACTCTTCGTCGGACGAATGGGAAAGGTGGCGCTTCATCAACCAAGTCTATCCCTGTTGGAAGGGGTTGCCTCCACGGCCCTCGCACTACTCCCCGGCCGTGAAAGCGAATGCCATAACAAACATGTACGATTATAAAACGGTTTGTAAGTACTGTAAAGAGTTTCTCTTTGCTTGGTCCACCCCTTTCTCCCAAGCAATACGTCAAGGGCACGGCTGTTTTCTTTTCTTCAATAAACAGCCGAAGTTAGGCAGAAAGGAGACCCGACCAAGGCTGCACAAAAAGTGAGTGGCGGAGACCCAAGAAGTCCTATTGACCACCACCACCCCCAAGGTAGTAAAGCTGCCGGACGGGGGGGGGAACACATATAAACTCCCCAAACCTGGTGCCTTCCAGAGGAGTTTGACCACAACTCTCATCGTTCCCAGCGAGCAAGTTAAGGTGTGCGGGACAAGGATGGTCATCATCCGTCACTTGGGGAAAGCGCCGGCCGGGAGAAGGAAGGATAAGAGAAACTTCCTTCTCCCCAACCCAGTGAGGGTCTTCGTTCTAGGCAGGTCCCGAAAGTTTGTTGCCCGTTCCTACACGAAGGTGAAGTCCCGCAAAAGAGCAGATTTGAACCCGGAGAGATTGCTGCTCCCCCCCCCCAAATCAGGGCAAGACAGCAAAGAAAGCCGCCCTCCTGCACACGCTTACTTGGAAGTAGGTTCGATTGAACTCAATTCCGTGGACTCTCGCGTGGCGGGTTACTTTCACCCCCAGTTACAGCCGCCACTCCCGCTATCATCACATCCCCCTCCCCTCCCCCAGAGTTTCAGATGAGGCTGTTTTTGGAACATCAGCGTTGGTCAGGCAGGCGAAATCCCCTCAGAATTCACGAGCTGGGGAGCGGAGGCGGCGGCGGGGCGGGGGGACGACGACACTGAGGTGTGTTTTGCAAGGTTCCAGGAGGTCACACAGGGCGCCTTTTCTAGGCTCTGGGATCCACGTCGCCAAAGCCACAGCTACGGTGGATCGCCAGAAAGATCGAGACCCGTGAAGCTGCCGGGCCTCCGAACACACGAACCTTCCGATCTTTTGTCGCCAGCAAGGAAACGGGATGTTAATGGCATCATAAATCCCTCATCCTTTGTGGCTCGCTCCCTCGTGTATTTACTCGGCAGTAAGTCCCTCCAATTTAACGGGGCGTTACTCCCGAGGAAGGCGAGATGGAACATCAGCCTTAGATTGAACATCTCGCCTACACGAGCTCTTTTCTCACGTTTAGGTGATAAAGGAGTCGGTTGGAGATGAAATTTCGTTACTCGATTCTTTCTTTCTTTCTTAAAATCTCTTCCTTGCCCCCATCCGCCTTTTGTAAAAAATTATTTTCTAGTTCTTTCGGACGAGTAATCCTCTTGATTGCCTTATAGTACCATTAGAAATGCATTCCGAAAGAAAAGCCGTCCTTGGGCACCCCCACCGCCAATAAACAAGCAATAAGCTCGCCCCCCTTAAACTATGGATCCCGAAAAGGAATGCTTCCTTAGATATGGCTTTAAACCGAATTATATAGGGGAAAGATCCTGCTCTCAGCGCTATGGGGGAAAAAAAAAAGACTGCATCGCGTTGAACCAATTGCTAGAGAACCCGGGAGTGGGGGGCAAGATCAGGGACTAGACAGTTTTAGTGCCACGGAAAAATAAAATGTTTGGCTTTCCGCCTGAAACGAAATTCGAGTTTGGGAGTAGACTCCAGCTCTCTCGTATCAACTTCCCTGGGATTAAACCTCGTTGAATTTAATGGGATTTAGCTCTGAGTAGACTGGTATAAAATCGTGGTGCAACTGACGAGATCCTACGTGTGGGTTAATTTTCTCTCAGCACATCCTGAGCATGATCGCAGTCTTTCCCGCATCCTCAAGTTGGAGGTCCCCAAAATGTCGTGACTATCCCCCTCCAGGTTGCCTTTACTTCCGAGTCGACTAGACTGAAAACGGAGATTGTACCACGGCAAGGACTACACGGGATCGAAAGAGATCAGGTTTTCCTACAGGGATCGCCAGCCGTGATCTCTAAACTGTCAGCGGTTTCCACGTTCAGAGCCAGTACGCCAGACCATAATACTTCATGGAAGGAACTGTTATGCGAACTCTCTATTCGTGGGCTTTCCGAACCCACCCATCGGGCCACTTCGGGGACTAGGAGTCGATAGATCCAGCGCCCTCTAGCTTTGTGGGACTAAAACTCCCACGAGCCCCCCTGGTCGGGCGGGGGATTATGGGAGCTGTAGCGCAACATATCTGGAAATCGACACAAACTGCGGGGGAGAGTGCGGAAGACCTTTAATGTGATCCACCGAGACTCTTCCGGTGCACTAATACTTCAGGGATGAAAAGGGGATGAAAAGGGTTATGCTCAGGAAGGCAATGGCGACAGAGAACGGTCACAACAAAGTTCTAAGCAGGATAGGGTTTTCCCAGCCTGACAATTACTGAACCCTGGGACGACCAGAACTTCATGCAACCAACCCGCCCCCCCCCCAGTTCCCAGTGACTCAAGCCTAGATGTTTTCTCCTGTATCAGATTTATGAGGACCTTAGAAGGGGAGAGTGGCCGAAAAGCTGCCCTGCAACCCCTTAAAAAGCAGTTGTTCAATAGGGAACACCGGAAGGGAAGGAATGGTTTAGGTGGTGCCCTCTTATACAAAACACCTATCGTTCATTCTCTGGTTCGGAAACCGAGATGAAAGAGCGCTGTTGGGAGCTTAGCCATAAATACTGAAATGACAAGGAATTTTTGGGGTGGGGGGCGGGGTGGGACAAGGGATTTTTTTTTAACTGTAAAGGGAACGATAATGACAGTCTAAGGCAACGGAATTATTTGATCTGTCGGCCGTGATAAAGACCACTTTCTGCAAGGGAGGGTTTTTAGACCTTGAAATGGAATTGCATTGTGCTTTCTCTAGGTTTTTTTTGGGCTGTGATCCTATGCACTTTGTTGCTAGCAACCGCAGCCGAACTCAAAGAGACCTATGTGAGAGCAATGGCAGGCGGAGAGAGGACATGAAAACAGCTGGAGCGCCGACAATAAAGAATGAAGTCCCTTGAAAAGGAGCTGGCTTTGCTCAGGCGTCAATGGAGCAGCAGCTTGATTCCCAGGAATCAAGATGAGAGGCACGGCTTGAAGCCGGCTGAGTCAGGAACCAGTCCGACCAAGTGCAGTGGGACTTGCTTCTCAGAGGAATGCAACCTCACCGCGCAGTCCTGTCTAGGCTTTCTCACAACCCCCTGTTTTAATGGGGCTTATTTGCTATTTACGTATGGCTGGGGTTGCAGGCAGGGGTTCCCAAGAAATGGATAATCTGAGCGCTAGACGAGAAGGCAACCTGGGCATTTCTCACCACTTTGGGCAGCTGAGGGACGAAGCGGGGGTGGGTGGGGCTCATCTCAGAATTGAGACGGGTGGAGGACGTCCAGAGCTAGTTTTGCACATCGTGGGGCTTCCACTTTGTCCGAAGCAGGGAGATTTAGGCCAGTATCCTTTTGCTAGTCCCAACGAGAGTACACTCATGGACTCAATGGGATTTAGGTGCGTGTTGAGTGACCATTGGATAGCTGATCCGGTTGACCTATTCTGGCTGGGACAAGTAATAAGGCAGTAGCCACTGGGCTGAAAAGACTCGCTCAGACTCAAGACTGGGAGCGGCGGATTTTTGAAAACAGCCTTGCCTTCAGAGCTGTATCGGGGAAGGGAAAAAAAAAACATCCTGAGTTTCAAAGAAAAATTTAACCAGGTGATTGGAAGACAATTAAATATTTCTCAGGCTGGGATCCTGTGCACATTTGACCGGGGGAGGGAAGCCCTTTGGAATTTATTGCAGCCGAGCGGCTGAGTAAATTGCACATCCTGCCGATGAACGGAAATGAACGGGAGACATTTAAGCGGATACGATTTCCCAGGGATAGCAGCAATGTTTAAAGGTGCTCTGTTTATATCCCACCTTGCCTGTTTTTGTTTCCTATTCTTTCTTTCCCCCTCTTTCCTTCTTTCCCTTTTCTTTTTTCTTTTGTAAGGGCAGGGGGAGAGAGGCCACGATCCCTGTTGCAGTTTGTTGGAGATGTAACCATATTTCCGAAACTGCTCTTTTCCGACAAGAGTTTTATTTCCGATAGTTTCACAGAACGGCTCTTACACACGCACGGCGTTAAAGCTCTGAAGAATTCGTCCGACGATTGGCAGACAGAGCATACAGGCGATTCACTCAGAAGTACATCTTGAACAACGCTAGCAGTGTCTACTCAGAAGGAAGCCCCACTGAATCAGTGGGGCTTACTTCTACATAATCTGGCACAGGCTTGTATTCCCCACCCCTTGCTTAAGGCTGCAGCCCTCTCCACATTTCTGCAGGAGTAAGTCTCACTGGGCTCAGGGGCGCTTACTTCTGAGGAACTGTGCACAGCATCAACCGTAGTTGGGCTGCATCTCTGATTTTGACATGCAAACAACGAAAGGAAGACAGCACTTCACCCGGAAGGTCATTTATTCAATCCTACACCAGTGCAGCAGAGTCAGATTAAAACATGTTACCATATATTGCATTTATCAGAATAGCAGCACAACAAGAGGAGTGGAAATGGTTATAGATCCCCTCTTTCCAAGAAGTCACATTACATGTCTTCAGTGCTTGGCTTTAAAATATCCAACTAATGGAAAGTTTCCAGCGAGGTACCTATCCATCCATCCATCCATCTATCTATCTATATACACGCGCACACACTTTTTTCCCCAGTTCCAGGACCGGCGGCTGGACTTTCACAGCCTTCTGCATTTCTTTTAATTTTTTAACACATTTCAGTATTTTGTTAAAAAAAGCAACAACCAACCACAGAGAGGTAAAGAAGTCAGGCTGATTCACACGTGCATCATTTGATATCTGCAACATCTGTTGATGTGAATGGATCCTCACGAAGTCTAACACCAGACACCACTTTCACCCAGTCATTTCAAAAACACACTGGGTTGGCTCCAGAGTGTCAGGATGAGAGGTGACCAATCAAAATCAATAGGAGAAGTTGGGCATGCCTCAGTTAACTCCCATTAAAGTCAGCGGGTCTACTCTAACTGGAATGAAGCCTCGACCCAACGCTTTCCAATTGAGTCAGTCCATGTGTTCATTCACAAAGCACACCATGATCAAGCGCAGAAAAATCAATGCACATGTGAACTGGTTCCAAGTGCAGCATGTCTGAGTGACAGGAAATCAAGTGAGGCAGAAATACTGAAATTTGAAACCAGCTCACAGGTGTGTGTGGACTAGCCCACAGACAACCACTACATAGCTAGAAAACCTCTTGGCACAACAGACTTTGTTAGAGGGTTGAATTTTTTTTTTAGGGGTTCATCCCCCTTTTCATTAGAAACAGCCATCACAGACTTATACAAATACACCATTCCTGTATGAGATAGTTATTTGGAGCTTTTGTTTAACAAGGTGTTTAAAGTAATACCTTCAGAGAGAAGAGTGTGAGAGAGAGGAGGAGGAGAGGAGGAAAGAAGAAGAAAGCCATCACGTCAAGACAAAGGTTAAAGTGTAGTATATTGGCACATTGGGACATGAAGGTAGCAGTCAAAGTGCGTTCGGTTCTCCCCTCCGGGACATTCTACCCACCCTCTTAAGTATAGTCATAATCTGAAGAGTCTTCTTCAGATGCTCCCCTGAAGTCTCTATGGAAAGTATCTACACTATTTCCTTCAGTGCCTCCTACAGGACGGGGGTTTCTCCCCTTGCCTCTGCGCTCCTCCATCTTAATGGTATCGTAGAGTCCCTTGGGTTCCTCATCCAAAAGAATGTTCCTTTCTGAGAAAGAGGGTTTGATCTGGCAAATGTTTTTGAGGAGGAGGAGGACGGGGGCATAAAGTACATTGGCGAGGCCCATGCCCAAGTTGAGCTGGACGAAGCCAAAGGAATGGACAATCTCCCCTGCCACGATTGGCCCCAGGGCATATGCCACAGAGTAGGAGATGTCTGCGATGGCATAGACGCTGCCATAGACGGACACATAGCGGACATCGACCAGGAAGGCAAGGGTAGGCAAGAGGGCGGTGTCCACCAGGGCAATGCCAAAGCAGATGCCACACAGAGGGATCATGAGCTGTCCAAAGTTCCGGCAGGCGGGCAACACGCATGAGCTGGCTCCTATGATGGTCATGCCCAAAGCCCCATAGAACCACTGAAGGTGGGGGTACTTGTCTGCCAGCTTGACTGTGACATAGACTCCCAGGACATGGGGGATAAAGGCTGGCAGCCACGTGAGCCCCATCTCCCACTCGTTGGCATTCATGGTCTTCATCATCCAGTTGGCAATGGTGGGCTCTAGGAAAGCCAGGGGGATGTTGCAGGTGGTGAGGGCTCCAGCCACCACGGCGATGTAAGGGTCGATCATGAGTCTGTAGATGGGGGTGCCCACGGGCATGTTCTCCCGCGCCCGGTCAAAGGGCTTGACGACTAGCAGAAGGAGAAGCCCGTCCACGAGGCAGATGCTGGCCAGCACTAGAAAAGGCACCCTCTTGCCCGCAAAGTGGTACAGGATGCCCCCGAAAGGGGGCGCCACCAGGCTGCCGAAGGAAATGAAGGCCAAGGCGATGCCCAGCGCCCGGTTGCGCTCGGATTCCTCCGTGTACTTGTCGGCGATGAGGGCGATTCCCGACGTGTCGGCGAAAGCGGAGCCCAGGCCTTGGAGGCTGCGGGCGACGAAGAGGGTGCCGTAGTTCTCGGCGAAGGCGAAGATGAGGGTGGAGAGGAACATGACGCCCAGGCCGATGAGGAGCGGGAGGGCATAGCCCACGCGGTCAATGAAGGTGCCGCTCAGCGGGTTGACCAGCAGCTGCAGGATGGCCTTGGAGGCGAACAGCACCCCGATCTTGATGTCGTCGTTGTCGGCCGGATAGCGGGGCCTCAGCAAGGGCTTGCTGGCGTTGCTGGGCCAGCCGCCGCCGCCGCCGCTCGCCCCGCTGCTGCCGTTGAGGGCCGAGACGGCAAGGGGCTGCTGCTGCTGCTGCTGCAGTGGCGCCGCCTGCTGGTGCTGGTGCTCGGCGGCGCCCATGGCGGCGATGTAGTCCGGGATGATGGGCACGATCACCATGTACAGCATGTTGTCCAGCAGCAGCACCACGCACACGATGACCAGCAGGAGGCGCCGCTGGCGGTGCGTCTCCTGCAGGGCGCTGCCCAGCGCCTTGGTCCGCTGGCCCACCGCCTCCGACAGCTTCTCCACCGCGGAGCGGGGCCCCGCCGGCCCGGCGCCTTCCGACTCCATCCTCCCGAGCCGGTGGCAGCTCGGCGATCGCGGGCGCGAGGGGCTAGGTGGGCATGAGGCGGCGGGAGGAGGGGTGGCTGGGTCACACGACGGACAATTGGGGGTCAGGAGAGAGCGGAGGACCACGTCCCGCGGAGCTGCCTGCCCAGGGCTCCTGCTCCCTTCTCCAGCCCTTTCCTCCCTCCCTTCCTTCCAGCTCCACTTGGTCCCTTCCCCCGTGCTGTCCTCCCTCTACTCCTTTCCTTTTTGTCTTCTTTCCTTCCCTCGCCTTTCTGCCTTCCCTTCTTCCCTTCCTTCCTTCTCTCTACTCGTCCACTCCTTCCTTTCTCTTCTTCCAGGTCTCTGCTCTTTTCCTCCGGTCCTGCTCCAGATTCTCCCCACCGCGGGTCTCTTCCACCTCCTCTTCCCCCCCCCCTCCCGGCTTCCTCACAGCCCGGGCAAGCCCTCCTCCATCCTCGGACTCCTGTTGCTGCTGCGCTCCCTTCTTCCCTGCCTCCTTTCCTTGGCAAGAGTCCGTTGACCCTTCCGAGCGTCGCCCTCCTCCCTTCTTAAGCACGCCGCCCCCCCCTCCTCCTCCTC